AATATGAAACTTCTTTACCTCTTCTTGAACATTCTAATTTCATAGCCCTAAACTGGGTACCTGAAAGTATTTAATTGAATTTGTGTAAAAGATTTTACTACTTCCTAAAAGATTCCGTGTGATATTTGATAGCATAAAAAACAATGTGCCGATACAGGGTTTCGATTTATTTACAAAACTAATCTGACCAGTTGCTGCATTCTTTAACACTAATTTTCAAGAAAATAAAACTTCTGTATTTCACTTAATTTGAGAGACACGTAGCTGAATATTAACATACGTTCATTATTTAATTAAGTCGATGCATTGGGGCGTCCAGAATAATTTTATACCAACTATTATTCCTACTATTATGCCGGAATTGGCCGCTTGGTGCAGCACACGTACTCAGGAAAACGTATTCCTGGGCATGAGCACCTCTCATTTCTTCGCTGTCCCTACCATAAAATGCGCAGCTATTATAGATATATACGTATATATATCTATGCTTAAACTGCGTGAAAAGATTGTTTTGTCGCCATCTTACTGCGAAGTCAAACATGCAGTTGTCTATTTCGTTTGAGAACTGTCGTTCGGACAGTAAGCACTGCTTTTGCGTTAATCGATTATGTACTGTTTGATGTTTCGACAAAGTGAGACGTCTACACATGTTTTTGACAGTTCTGTAGTCAGAGAAAGGTTTTTCTAATCTCTAAGTGGGGAGAACATATTTTCTTTTGCATTTTTACACAATATTAACAATTTGAAGTCTGTTCATACCGTCACTACAAAATGTATTACGATAGGTATATGCGAAATAGTACATGTTCATACATTACGAAAGGCGGTTAGGTACAATCATTATAGATTAAATATGAGTTTCCTAAAGTAACTGTATTACTGTAAAATAATTGAAAATGAATAACGTAGCAACCGCAGAGTGCTTGACCCTAGATTTTGGACCGTTTGAGACTGTTCATCGATGGCAACGTATGCCAGAATGTGACGAATTTGTTGGTGCCAGGTAATGTAGTTTAATTCGGTCTATTACTTAAAATACAAGTTTACAGTTTTGCCCGATTAGTTGGAATTTTTCTTCATTTTTTATAACGTCACTCTGTGCAAACAGTAGTTTTGTTACAGCGTTATTTTTCCTATAGTCATGCATCTATGCTTTGGTTGTGTCAACATATTCCAGTTTCTTTATATTTCAAAGAGAATTTCTTTGTATTTGTTAACCAGAGAGTGTAAATAAATAATATTAATTATAATAATAGCTAAATATAACTGGTGATTTGTTATCCTTTTTATATCCTTTTTTCCTTGTGTCAGTTGTTTTTTTACCATTTATTGTATTATACACAGGCGTAGCAAACACACTGTTGTAGCATACAAAGATGCAATATATGTTTTTGGCGGTGACAATGGTAAAAGAATGTTGAACGATTTGTTGAGATTTGATGTGAAAGAGAAATCTTGGGGACGTGCATTGGCTGCAGGAGCTCCTCCTGCTCCACGTTATCATCATTCAGCAGTTGTGCATGATTCCTCCATGTTTGTATTTGGTGGTTATACCGGGGACATACATTCCAATTCGAATCTCACAAACAAAAATGATTTGTTTGAATATCGATTTCAAACTTGCCAATGGACAGAATGGAAATTTATTGGGAAGTATGTTTTTCTCTTATTTGGTTTCTTCTGTCTTTCTTAAAACAAATCTCTTCTTATAGTTGCCTTTAGATTTTAGATATATATTTCATATTTGTTTGTAGAACACCTGTGGCTAGATCTGCACATGGAGCTGCTGTATATGACAATAAATTATGGATATTTGCAGGCTACGATGGAAATGCAAGATTAAATGACATGTGGACAATATCACTGTTGGTGAGTTAGCATGTAACATTGGGGTCAAACTACAGATTATAAATGTTTAATTGACTTTAGCCTGGAGAGCCTAGGGTATGGGAAGAAGTAGTTCAATCTGGTGATTGTCCACCAACATGTTGCAATTTCCCAGTTGCAGTAGCCCGTGAGTCTATGTTTGTCTTCAGTGGTCAGAGTGGGGCAAAAATCACTAATAGCCTTTTTCAATTTCACTTTAGAGAAAAACGGTAAGTTTGTGACAGCAATATCTCTTTTTGTGATGGCGTATTCTATCAAGCAAATATCATTAGGTGGACTCGTATTTCAACGGAACATATACTTCGCGGTGCACCACCACCACCAGCACGTCGGTATGGTCATACCATGGTCAGTTTTGACAGGCATCTTTATGTATTCGGTGGTACAGCGGATTCCACGTTGCCGAATGATCTTCATTGCTATGATCTTGATACACAAACATGGAATATTATTCTTCCATCCACTGACAGTCAGATTCCATCCGGTCGTTTGTTTCACGCGGCAGCAGTAATAGGAGAGGCCATGTTCATATTCGGCGGAACAGTTGACAATAACGTTCGATCGGGCGAAACATACAGATTTCAATTCTCGTCTTATCCAAAGTGCACGTTACACGATGACTTTGGAAGATTGTTAAGTGGACGTCTGTTCTGCGACGTCGAATTTGTAGTAGGTGACACAGAAACAAAGATACCTGCTCACATAGCCATGGTAGCGGCACGATCGCAGTTTCTCAGGGCTCGTATTAAGCAGGCTCGAGAAAAGCGAGATAAATACTTGGAGGATACGTTTGGAACCACTGATGTGCCGATCAAGGACATCCCTTTATTAGAGGTAAGTAATTTAGCGCGATTGACAAAAAGTACCATTGTATCACGCAGTTGCATTGAAGGTGAGACTGAAAGATGCAGTACCAGAAGCTTTCGAAATGGTACTGAATTACATCTACACCGATCGTATTGATCCTACGAAAAAGAGCGATGATGGATCAAGCAGTCGCGTCGAAGACCCACTGAGCAATCGAATTGTACTGCTCATGATGGACGTTTATCGTTTAGCGGTGCAATTTAATATGAAACGATTAGAACAACTGTGCGTCTATTACCTGAAGGCAACTATAAGTCACGCGAATGTTCTGGAAGCGTTGCACAACGCTGCCCACTTGAAATTGTACTTCATAAAGGAGTTTTGCTTAAGTTTCGTCGTCAAAGAGAGTAACTATAATCAGATCGTAATGAGCCAAGAGTTCGAGACTTTGGATCAACCTTTAATGGTGGAAATCATTAGGAGAAGGCAGATGCCACAGACGAGAAACTTCTCGAAGCAGTATGATCTTGGCACAGGTAACGTTCCTCAAGTTACTATGGAAAGATTCTTGTCAATTTTTCATTCCGAGCTTTCAGGAACGACATTGGAACAAGACATGGAAGCATTTTTGAAGAGTGTTGGCCGGGAATTCTGTGATATAACATTAATATTAGATGGTACACCCATTCCTGCCCATAAGGCAATTCTTGCAGCACGGTGTAGTTATTTTGAGGGCATGTTTCGTTCCTTTATGCCAGAAAATAATACAGTCAATGTGAGTAATTGATGATTCGCTGTATGTATAATCAATAATTAAATACGTTTACAATTCAGTGCGCATCTTTCTGATAGATACAAATAGGTGAGATAATCCCTTCTCGCGAATCATTTGACTCCCTGTTGAGATACATCTATTATGCAGATGTCTCTATGCCGCCTGAAGATTCTTTATACTTATTTACCGCGGCAATTTTCTATGGTTTTACGAATAATCGACTGCAGGCCTTTTGTAAACAGAATCTTGAAATGAACGTCAGTTTTGAGAATGTTATACAGATATTGGAAGCTGCCGATAGGATGCAAGCTACCGATATGAAGAAGTATGCGTTGGATCTTATAGTGCATCATTTCACAGAGGTAAATGTCGTACTAATTCTAACATATCTTCTTTGTCTTCAATTGTTAGTTACACTTTTTCGGGAAGTTATGTCTAATGTATATTTACGGCTACAACGTTACTTTTGTTATAGGTCGCAAGGCTTCCAAAACTGAAACAGTTAAGTAGAGAACTTTTGTTGGATATTATTGAGGCTTTGGCCGATGAACGTAGTGAAGCACGAGCCTGCCAGGATATGGCTAACGATTGCTGATAGCATTCCGGCCCATAACGCTGCCCTTTTTATTGGGATTTACCCTCACACTCTAGTTTCCAAGTAAGTGTTAAATACAAGTATTTTAAAAACCGTTGACACTAGAGTAAACGATTCCATATAAACATTACAAGAATCATTCCTCATCTTCATTATCTTCGGGCTACAGTTGTACCACACACGTGTACTCTAGTGTCAACATTTCCTACCTTCTGGTACACACTTACATGGTTAGACGAATATTTGAAGAGTCTAACAGTAGAGGGCGTGTATGCGAATCAGTAAATAACTTGTACTGTCCTCTACTAATCTTTAAATCATGCTTTCCAATTCTTGGACTTCACGGGAACTCCCATTACCGAATGATGGAGTTATCAGATATATAAGTGTAGATAAAACTTCGATAAGTAAATAATTTGAGCTAATACACTGTAAATAGAAAATATACATATATAGGAACATAAAATTACTCGTATAATATACATTCGTAAATTACGCTGTCATGAACATGATAATAAAAAAGACTGTAATGCATTAAAAAAAAAAAACAAATTGTTCAATCAACTGTATTACTTCACACTTGTCGGTTATTATTTAAATGGTGGCACGAATATTCGATTGAAACTCTAGGCGAAACAAAAATCTATATAGGAGAGGGGGGACATGAATAGATGCTGGAAGACGCATAAGAGATTAATAAATTATGTACTATATTTCGAACTTGACGCACAATCGATATTTCTGTTACGATAGATAACACGTTTAAGCTTAATGGCAAACTGCGCATATTCTGGTGGTGGAGAGGGGGGGATCGAAAGAAACTTTACATATGGAGCTCGTATAAAATCATTGCCCTTGTTTTTTCGTTTTTCCCCCTTTTCTTTCGCTACGTACTGTTGTCTCTAGTCGGGTGACGTCAACGGCCCCGATTCTTCGCGGTTTCAGTCTCTTTAACAAAATAATTACGTGATCGAATTTGTACATAAAAGTAAATATACGGTCATCTCCAGACGCTTCTCGTGTCCTCCCACAAGGCTAGCAATCGTATGTGAATCGAAGCTTGTTGTACGAGGGATTTAGGGAGCGCAACGCTTGTAATTCCTCTACGAAAAAGTGGTGAATTTTCTCTACGTGTTGCGTGTCATATTTCGTCTAACGATCGCGCCGGATAATACCACACTTCTTAATCCCAATAAATCACGAAACTTTCTTTCGTTTTAAGATTAAAATTCTCTTCGCTAGGTGGCGTCTTAATTCGCGCGTAGCTATCTTTTTTTTTCTTATAGTTGATCTAAACTTAAACCGCGATACACAGTAATTAGACTAGGTAGGCCTTTCTTTTCCTCCTTTTGTTCATCGCTTAAAACACTAAAATGAACTCCTAGGGGGTAATTAATGACCGTGTTCCGGTCACAAGCCGTCACCATCGATGTCGATTCGATTACAAAATGAGATCTAATAGAGAAGTTGCACGGCTAATCCCAAAAATTACGTTACAATGATACGGTCGTGGTACAAACTTCACGTTGATTTCGAATGGCCCCAATCTGAAACAGAATATCGTGTGCTGAAGAGAAAAATCAATATTCCAGCGTGGATAGGAGAGGGGGGATTTAGAGAGGTTGTATATGCTGACTCACCGATTGTAAAATTGCTCGTTTCGTATTTGTAGGCACACAGGGAGTACGAGACCGTTTTTATTCCACTTACTAAACCTTGCTGGTTTCCCTCTCGTCGATTTTCTGATATCCTGCATGAAAGTGTGTGCAGCACTTCCATACAGACAACAGAAAGGCAACACGTTCCCGTTTTCGAAAACACGACGGTATCACGTACACCCTTATTAAAATGCTGATGGTCCGTTAGCAAATTTACCTTTTCGGCAGGTAACTCCTGTACGCCAGCTCTTGTCATTTCTAAAAAGAAACAGTGTAACCATCGGATGACAAAAATCTTCGTCCTCGAATTACCAAGAATCGAATTCGTTTTTTCATGCATAGACACAACAATTGCAGGGTGTTAACACGAGGACGTCGAACGTGCTGTCGCGATTGAATCTCATAAAACACTGCCCTCCGAACTAGGGGAAGTTTGGTTATGGTAATCAATTTTAATTCCACTTGGCGTCCTTATACGGTTGATATTGTCGCAGATCGTCGATCGATTGATCACAGATCAAAGCTGTTAACCTTTTCCTCCGCGATGCTGCTCGTCGATGGCATCCGGTGCGAAGGTTCCAGCCTTTTACGCCTCTCCTCGATCGCCTCCGTGTCCAGGTTCATCGTCGGTTGAATCGTCTGTGTCACAGACGTGCTTATGTGTCTCGTTTTAACAAGTGGCGGATTTCGCGATTGTGGAATCGCTACAGCCCTTCTTAGTGCCCCTCTCGGGGGCGATGGCGGTGGATACGAGATACCTGATGGTACATTTCACGTGAGTATTATCGTCAGAGCTTGTACACACCTTCTTGCTAACATGGAAGCCGTGCAACTTCTATCATTGGACAGAGATTAGATGGATTGTAGGCCAAGGTTTTTCGAGGAAAGGATGGAAGGGAGATCAATGAGACTATATATTCAATTGGTAGATTGAGTGCAGCGATTACAACTGGGAAAGAATCGTGGTTCAGCTTTGATGTAGAAATTGCTTCAAATCCGTGATAAGTGTCCTGTCCTTGGGTAGGCTAACTGCGCTCAACCTATCTAACAAACTCTGCTAAGCATGCACAGTGCCATCGTTTTGTTATTTCAGTTTTTTTTTTGCTGGTGTTTATTGTCAGAACAAGCTTCTAGAGGGTAACACTGGAAGAGGATATATTTCCACGTGGGTGATTGCTACCTCGATGCCCTGGCGAGAGCAGAGTGTCCTTGCTCTTTGTTATTTGGGGAACGATAAGAAGCGAGTTCGGCGGTGTCGGTGACACTGTCGACGTTTGCGGCGAGGTGGCCAATGTCAGGTTCGGCAGCGATTGGCCTAAGCTAGAATACGCTGGCACTTGGACACTGAGTGTGTTCGGCGTCGGTGATTTACTCAGCAGATATCGTCTGTTATCAAATTTGTTAGGACTAAAATAACGGTCAGAAAAATTGATCAGAATTGCAGTTTGGAACACGGGGTATTATGGTTTCTATACTCTACCATTTTGTAGACTGGTTTATTTACCTGATTTGCATGGGTCTGTGATTGTGACCGGAAGGTTCACCACCTTCCTCGGAGGACACGCTCGAGGCGCGAGGTGGTTCGTTAGTCTCGACGCTAACATTCCTACTTGGATTGTAGCTCGGTACGAAATTGCTGCTTCCTGGAGAAACGCCTTCCATCTCTATACTTCCACTGGAAGATTCATTGGTTTAATCGAAGGATCTTCCAGGAAGCCTAGATTAACTCTAATTATCTAGAAAAGGAAACCGTAACGAACCTGTGACTGTGAGCAAGACTGCTCACTCGTGACGCCCTGCTACTTCCTCTAGGTGTTTTCAAAATCGTCTCGCATTCATCACCCTCTAAATCGACGTCACCTAGGAAGGTGCTAGGCTGTCTGCTGACCGTTCCCAAGTTCAAATTTAACGTGTTGCCAAGGGGTGGCAGTTTCATCAAGGCAAACTGTTGTTGAGCTTTTCTTAAGGATTCCATCCAAGACTTGAAGAAAGAACATATAGTCGTGTATTCTTTGAAGACCCATTTGCGAAAGAAGAGAAACAGCAAACCTGCATCCCTTTGCAAAGGGATAATTACCTTGGCCAATTTTGATTCTCCAGCGCTGAGAACCAGGGCAGCCGACGCTGCCCCGTACTCGTTCAGATAGATCAATCCCAAGCTAGATGGCTCCTTTAGCTCGTGTATCCGGATACGATCGATCACGTATGGTTGCCTTATGATCTTCAAACCACCGCCGACAGATCCAGCCAAACCACTGGAAGAGGTCTTCTTGGTCGACGGTTTGCAGATCAGTAACATGTCCGTTAGCAACAATATATGGACTTCCGTCTGTTGACCATATTAGCAAGCAGTCAATTGATCGTCCAATTTGCAATATATCTTTCGATAATACTTTTCATGTCGAGAATTACCTTGCTACTCGCAGCGTCCCTCAGTTTCAAGTCACCCTCGCGGAGAAGCACTCTGAGAGTGTCTTTCGGACAGCCAGGCATCGGAGCTGTGGTGATGTCGAACGTGCTGTGAATCTTAATCAATTTCTCTAATTCCTCGTCACGTGACTCGACCACGTCGTAGTTCTCTATGCGAGACGCGGCGGTGGCTAGTCGGGCCGTTTCCTCGTTTCTCTTCAGGGCAGCGTTCACGGATGCCACGAAGTCGTCTACGGATTTGATCTGGAACATACGGTTAGGCTACCTATCTTCTGTCCTCGCTGAAGAAGTAATGAGGATCGTGTGATTGGTTCCGTTGAACTACCTGAACTCCTCGCAAAGTTTCAGGGAGATAGATTAACGGACTAACAGAGTGGATGAATTATCTAAGTGGTGGAAGGTCCCTAATCCCTGGAGCTTATGTCGGATATCTACTACACCGAAATCCAACAATGATTTTTCCGTCTAATACAAATTGGCTTTCCATACCATATGAATCAGTTCCGCCCGTTGTTCCTCGTTCTCCGTGTTCTTCTGAACGGCCTTGAGGAGAAGGGAGTACTTGGTCAGCCTCTGCATAGGCTTTACCAGTATGTCGAGCAGCTTCAATCGATTGCAGTCCTTCTGTGTCTCGCACCACTGGCCCAGACAATGCGATTAGGTTACCAAGATCAGTCGAATCATAAATGACGGGAGGGATTCGGGTCACTCACCACTAGATAGACGGTGAACAGTTGATTATCGTTCAGCCGGTCCCTACAGTACTGTTGACACCTGCTTTGTTCAGCGCAATATCTGGTGTACGGGGCGAACGTTTGTTCGAAGGTCTCGAAACCTTGTAACAAATGACCAGAGTCGAGTAGCTGCCCAGTGGATCTCGAGGCGTTCACCATCATCAGGACGTACTCGGTCCAGAAGTAACGGTTCGCTGAATAGATCTCGGGGATATTGCTGAAGAGCTTGCTCCTGTCGACCTCGATCAGGATATTCGAGGCCTGCAGGCTGCAGAGGCACGCCATGAATAACTGAAACGTTTATCGATAGGCTTGATCTCGCGTTATTGAACTGGGCCAAATAAATAATTAACCTTTTCGGTAAGGCGACACCAAAACGCGACGCTGTTCCTGACGGCCGAGGAGAAGTCATACGAATTTCAAAGACCACTTGTATACGCGTTCTTCGGCCACAGCGAGCATTCTATGGACCACTTTGTATACTCGTCGTTCGTAACGAAAAGGTTAATTGTAAGAAGAAGAAACGTTCTTTGGACTTTAATACATCCGGGGAAATATTCGTGACACACTTACGTCCGTTACAACCTTCAGGGTCCTAATATAGGCCACCTCTGTTTGAGCTAACTCCCACAAAGCAGTCTGCTGTTGTTGCTGTTTCTCCGAAAGTTGATCCGAGTTGTGTACAATGTCGCGCCAGTCTTCCTCTAAGCTATACAAGGCTGTGATACAAGACGACTAATTAACATTCCCGTGTCTTTTGCCAATTCCAGACTCGAACGTTTCAAGACAATGAACCGGGGATCGAGCAACTCCTACTAAAAGACTGGGATATCCTTTCATCGGGCAACGAACCTCGAGGCCTACGTAACAGTATTCTATCGGTTTCGGTACCTACAATCGTCTACGACATAACCGGGGACAATACTGAAACCGAAACAATCGAAACGAGGAGAAGAAGCGCCCCCGTGATGCAACTTTGCATCAGTGATTACAAATATGTATATTTAAGAGTTTTTATATTGGTAAAATAATTTATTGAACGTTAATAAAAGTTTGTTGTACCGAAATGCTGTTCTTGTTATTCGATCCCAGTTTCAAATCCCATCGATTTCTCGCGGGAAAATTATTTTTAGTTTATCTTCTACTGAGAAAAAATGGGAATATATTTGAACGAACGTTGATTTACACGTACCATCTTCGTTAAGTGTGAGCTCGTAGGGCATCTGAATGTCCGCGAGCCTCGGCACACCGTGCTTATTGTATTCGTCCAGTTGGGCGGTGAGAAGGTCCAGCTTGTTGCCCTTCGTGTTCGTGAAGAAACCGCTCCATCGTTGTTTGCTGGTCTTGTGCCCCGCAGCCCCAGCGGAACTCCGACCAGACGTGATCGTGGTGCTGCTGCTCACCTCGGAGTCGACGCTCGAGTCCTCCGTCGAGACGCTGAAGAAACGACCGCTCCGACTCCGATAACTCTACGCCACACAAGTTTCATAAAAACATCGAACTCGATATTGTCGTGCTAATTCACTGGTAATCATTAGAATTTCAATATGAGGGAGGACACGACAACGGAATACGGTTAATCCTCGATGAAAGTTCGAAGGCTCTTCAGCACTGAACATTAAATATTTCGTACATCAATGGCCATATGAGGGTGAATCGAATACCATTGGCTTCAGAATTCCAAGCTTTATAAGTGTCATCCCCACCATTTAGGGGTCCTCCGTGGAACCAGTCTAGCGTCCAATAGTGAAGATGACGTTTAAACAATCAATACTGAGGAGCCTTCAAACACTTATCGATGATTCACCGTAACAAGATATCAAAGGAAACGTGTTTATATCGTTCCTAGGCTGAACTGATTATAATCCGGATGCCTCTGTAATAGGTGGATTAGTATATCGATCGTCTTCCTCTATGCGACATTGTCTGTAACCTGACGGATCGTTCCGTCAATTTGTTTTCGACTCGGATGGGTCAAGGCTCGTGGATGATCGTACGATGTCGCCGTTATTGTCAGCGATTATAAGACCTCGGTCCGCGTGGGGATCGAAGATTATGAGAAATGGACAATGGGAGCCGCCGTGGTTCGAAACCGATATCGAATCCCCGGGAAATGTGCTTCCCCAGTTGGGAGATCGAAGCAGTCAGGGAGATGGAACCGTTTTTTAGTTCAGGGAGCATTTGTGATAATTAAAATGCCACGGTAAGATCGGTGCCAATTGAAATGGAACGGGCGGTGATGCGACTCAAGGGTGGAAACGAGGAACGGGGTTGGAAACGCGTTCAGGAGATTGACTGACTGACGCTCGATTCGAGGAAGCTTCTTCATATTTTTCATATAGATTCTTGAACAACCTTGATGTTTTAAAAATGCACATTATTTTTAAAGGGTTTCTTTTTTTTTTTATGGGAAAATGAATTGCTTTCTCTGGATGTTCAAATATACAGGGTCTAGCCGAATAATCTGTAAAAGCGGGCACCACGAGATTCCTTATGAAGAAATAAGAAAAAAATATTTAATAATATTTTGTCATTCTCGGCTTAGTTTTCGAGGAAATCGAATTTGAACATTCTAAGACTGTGCACTTGACTGGTTCCACAGCCCCTCCCCCCCGTGGTGGGATGACGTCTGAACACTCATCGACGATTTACTGTATTTCCTACATGGTAGTAAGTAGAAAGGGAATGCAATGACCAGACACACTAGCCAAGCCCTATTCAATCGATCGTTTCTGTAGCAGCTATTCAATATTGATTTCCACGAAAACTAAGCAGAGAATGACAAAATTTAATTCTACATATTTTTCTTATTTTTTTCATAAGGACTCACGTGATGCCTGTTTTTACATACTATACGGCCAGACTCTGTATGTGAAATTACAACTGCGATCTTACCCCTCCGGTTTTCCTCAACGACACGCTCTGGGTGCTGACCCTCTGAACCGTCGGTCTTGAATTCGTTTTCTCGGCGTCTTTGACTGGAACAGAGAAAAAAAACATTTCACAGCAATGTTTTTCTCTTAACCAAAAGCCCAAAGTCGTCGTCGTTTCGACGAGCAAACTTTTCCCCTGACGGGAAAGACGACTGGTAGTAAGTTCTCTCTCGTTGGGAATCGTGGGCAATCTTCTTGTTCCCTTTCTTTTTTTTTTTTATCGTTCTCCACGTTTATTTCTCTTCAGCTCGATAAAAACGAGAAACTTCACCGTGCGCTCGCGAAACGTCCTGAACGATTTCTGGGATAGGGGCGGCGGAAGTGCTGACAGCTTCGTTCGTAAATTCGTAGACCATTCGGCAAAAATGTCGCGAATGATATTTCTGATTGATAAACAGGTCCGGAATTCCACGAATTACATTTCACCGCGCCCGATAAGACTTCGTTTCTATCGGCCCAGACGGCGACGGTGCCCGTTATCGATGTTCGTGACAGGTTTCGCGTGGCGGGCGGAACACGAACGGACGCGTACCACTTACGCGCAAGATTCACTGTATATCTGATGGCTTAATTCGTTTTTTTGTATTTTTCATTTTTTTTTTGGATGGCAGAGGGATGGTTTTCTAGCCGAGAACGCTTTAACGCGATGTAAAGAGGGGTTATTAAGCCAGATATGCATCTGAAATACGGCCATTAAACTGTTGCGTGAGTACTCGTTCCACGGATTAAACGTTTTGCGTCAGAGTACCCTTCTGGCCCGAGGTCGAACTCGTCCAAAAATGTTGTATTTATAGAATCACGCAGGGTCTAATACCAGCCAGAAATATTAAGGGAAATTTACATAAACTTCTGTTCGATGATTACCCTGCACGGAGAATGTTTGAGAAACTTTCGTGAAATATTGTATTCTTGAAATAGAATGAGAAATTGTGTTTATTAATATTGTCGTGTTTATTCCAAACCTAACATAAACTTAACGTAAACCCAAACCCAACATACACCTAATACTATAAACCCAAATCCATCACAAACCTAGAAGTAGAAACTTGACTGCAAATGTTTTCAGTATTTACTGTACATCCTGTGAACGAGAGTTAGGGCGAAGGGCGTTGCACACAGAACTTTCCCAACGTCGTAGTCGGCAGTTAATTAGGTTTAATGTGTCTTGTTACACCGACGACAGGCTGCCGTTACCCTTTCAAACACTTAATCACGTTCTTGACTGAGGTAAGATCGTGTGTTCACTCGAGCAACCCAGTGTACACGAAGGCGAGCCATCATAACTTGGTATCGTCGCGAGTTGCATTCACAATTTCTGACACGTTTCTCCAAAGGCGCACCACAGGGGAATTAGTGAAATTCTGGAATTAGCGCCCTTTGCGGCAAGCATAGAACCGTAGTTTCCTCTCGTGCACGACGTCGGCCATGTTTTTTTATCTGTCCATTGAAACTATAAACCGCGCCCAGTGTGACTATACAGGGTACCCCAATTAACGTGACCCCACAAACTGACTTCTGCTTTTTTGGTTGCTTGTGTTCAAACCACTGCGTCGAAAATTCTGAATTTTCTTTCATAAAGCTTTCCCTTACAAATGAATAAAAGTCTTCAGTCACGATCACAAATTCCTATGCGTCTTGCGATTTATTTCATTTATACCTTCGAAAATCGCTGAAATACTCTCTTGCTCGAAATATCAATTCTGCTGTTAAATCGAAAAATGGTATTACAAGAACACGTATTAAGCCGTCGGGATTAGTAAATAACGGACGCTTTTATGGACGAGAGATTACAGCGATGTCGCGGATTGATACACAAGCGCGCGCTGGCTGTGCCATTTTTAATTACAGCGTCCCTTTTTGCGGGCAAACAACACGCGTGATGCGACGGTTTTGTAAATATCGGGGTTTATGGGACAAGAAATGCGATTACACGATTCTGCTGGGATTTAAATTCGATTAAAGCTGATTTCCCGTTCGGACGACGGCTTGGTCACGTGGTGCAAGTGGAAACTGTCAATTATGATCAGCCCGGATATAAATGTACGTTCTCTATGTTAGTCATCATTATATCATCATTGTTCAGCTAGAATAATATGAATGGAAGTTCAAGATACTGAGAAAGAACGATTCTAGCAAAATGATCCAAGTAGTATTATATCCCGAGTGGGTCAGACGTAGTGATAACGTGAGCTGGTATTTGAAGATACGTGTGATTTGTGCTTCCACCAAGGAAGGTCTACCGACTGGATAAGTCACGTATTTCACGTAATGTCAACCGTTAGACGACCTAAAACTTCCTGTGTAGAATTTAAACCAACATTCGCAATCACGTTTAAAATATACACTGATATACAAGGTGTTCGGTTGTAAATAAAAGATGCAAACTAGTGGAATCGGTACCCACTGTATGCTAGAATGGATCAGACAGAAAGTGAATGGTTTCAAGGAGGACATACTCAGGTGTAATTAGTTTTTTTGTAGCTTATCAATTTCGATTTTCCCATCAGTTTTCCCCTCGTCAGTTTCGGTATTCCCTACAAAAATGTGTTAACCCATTTATGTCCAAAAATTATTACTCTAAGATATATTTTAATCTCAATATATTTATATTGCAAAATGACTGTCATTTCAGAAAACGTACTTGCTAATATCACTTTGCAATATTGAGATTAAAATATCTTCTAAACGAATGACATTTCGACATAAATAGGTTAATACTTTTTTGTAGAGAATACCGAAACGAATCGATTACAGTATGTAAAACTATATGTTCCCGTTTAAACAATGTATGTCACCTTCACATGACCTCTACCTGGTAATCTATAAAAAAAACTAATTACATCACATTATGTCCCCCTTGAAACTATTTGCATTTCGTCTGAACTATTTTCTCATACAGTGGATATTTTTCCAGTAGTTCGTCTGTTTCGTTTATAACCGACCACCCTGTATAAGTAAACCATAAACTTATCTTTCGATGAACAGTTCTAGTTTCCTGATTCGTGTTAATAACCACGCGACGCCTTCCGTGTAACGGTTGTTTTACAAGCGAATAGCTTCGAAACTGTTTAAATCACCGGTGGAAGGGGAAGTTGGAACAGCCTCCATACGTATCAATGTTTACCCATCGTAAGCTGCCTCGAAATTGTCAACAGTTCCACGGAAGACAAACGGGAAGTGAGCTCGTCGTTTGACGCTCGAAATTGCACCAATAGGAAGCGAAGACCTATCGCGCCGTGTTCGAATGGGTTCGCAGCGCGAACTTTAAGTAGTATGACCCCGTTATGGCCCGTGGCCATAGCAGGACAAAGCAATCTCGAAAGTTTAAGATTCATATCGATGGCGGGGCATTAGCTTTCAGCGACAGTCGAGGCTTCGAACGAGGCCAGGGATCTCGGGGTCTGGCTAGGTCTAACGGAGATTATTTTCGGTTCGGTTCGGATCGGATAGAAAGTTAATCCGGGTTAGGTCGTCACACGTAGATCGTATCGTCAGAAAGTATAGCAACCGACTGTACAGTCTTATAGTTCTATTCAATTTCACTTTAAAGTTAGCCGGCAGTTAAGGTCTTCTAACTCATGGATTCAGTGGTAGAGCTCCGCTATGATCAGCCCTGGTATTTCACTGATTTTCTGTTTTTTATTCCGTTATTTATTATTGTTGTTAACGTTTCTATAAAATCGTAATTTTCTGGATATTCTTGAAAGTATTTTTGTAAATTTATTCTTTTTTCCGTTGTTTATTTTTGTACTTTTTTTATATAGTTGGATATTTTTGATTATTTTCGATCGGACTGCTAATAACAGAGTAATCTCTACTGATCACGATTCGTGGTTCACTCTGTATATCAAGTCGACTTTGACTACTCGACGGCGTACCGTTTCTCGCCTAAAGGACTCTAATTATTAAGAACGATCTAACTGGAATGCGTCCAGACGTAGAGTGAGGATCGACGGGCTGGCATCGACCTCTTTCGATCGTGATCTAGTGGGGGATCGGTGCGCACGCATCCGCAGTGATTACGTGGGACACAGGATTTCCATGGTTCCTTGCCCGTTTCTCAGGTAGCACCGAACTTTAATACTGGTGGGGCGCCTTCCCCTTATACGTGTATAGCTACCTCTGTTGTACCTCGGAATATATGTAATATGTACGGTTACACTACGGAACTGATGGCGAGGATCGGTGTTGCGAGGGGGGCGGGAAACGTTAATGTTTCTGAAATTAACGAGCCAACTTTTCTGATAACGAGTAACTTTCGTAGCTGATTTGAGGGTGCTTTCGTGCGCTCGCGGGGGCGTATTTTGCGGATGCTCCTTCGAAATGACCCAATTTGTTGAACGGGAATTGCGATTCATAATTCGCGAGTACTGTTTAGGGAGGAGTTATCGATCAGTTACCTGTTATTCTGAGGTGTTTCCCGCCGAGACTCGACGTGTCCGTCGTCAGAATCGGTAACGGCGTCGAGAAACCGTCGTATACTTCGATGCGTGATAGGTCGATACCGCGTCTCTCGCACGTGGCATTCAGTGCCTCCCTATAACAAAGAAATATTATGTCGATCCAAGTCTCGTCAATGGAAAACTGTTTTTCTCCCAACTGAAACATTCAATCTGTATTACAAACCCTTTGAAAAATACGAGAGAGCTTGTGAATCTCTATTTTATCTCGTTTTTCTGGTTCAGTTGCATGATCGCAAAATGAAATTTACACGAAGTTACGATCAATTCACGTGAAAATTGACTTTAACATTTTGCTGTGCAACTGGAAAAAAATGTATGCCAGGGAAATATTAAAAAAAGATATATAACAAAATTAAAGTTGAGTAGGAATCTGATTTTTAAATTCTCGAAAGTCGAATCCGAAATTTTCTAAGATTTCATGATTACTTTACTAGCTCTACTGATTACTTTAAGAAATCCTCTCATAGGCCATTAAGAATTGTTTAATTTAAAATAATACTGGATTAAAAATTCTTAACAAATAATCCTTACTGTATACTATGTTGCTGTAACTATTTCTATTTTTATTTGCTACTTAATTATTATATATGCATACTAAATTTATACCCGTACAATAACAAAATAAACATTATAAAGATTTCGAAATTCTCAAAACTTTCTTTGTTTTCGAGGGGTTTCGAGATTTTGAGAAACCAATCCCTAAAAAAAATGTCAGTTTTACAAAATGGCAATTCGATCGAGAATGTAAAACTTCATAAAGGGTAACCTTTTATACCACTAAAAAAAAAATTTTTTAAAAAAAAAAGTCCCAAACCATTCAACGATATAACGAATACACGTACAAATAACAGTGCTAGGAATTTACTCCGCAGTATTTACGGTTTCGGACACCCCACTGTGGCGTCTAGTCGTTTGAATTATTGAGCGAAACTACTGCGCGCGGCCGAGGCGAGAGAGTGCTTCCATCTCTGCTGGTGGCGCGGGGGGAACGACTGTTTCTCTCGCTCCAGCTCGCGAAACAGTTAATATTCCATAATTCCAGTGGCGGGGGGTTTCGCTTTGGCGAGTAAATGCCCCGTAACAGGCGCGTGTCGCCGCCGCGCGCGACGGAATCACTCGCGCGTGATCGTCACAGGTGCCACATCTGGTTTCGGGACGCTCGTCACCAAGTGTTACCGAACCATGGCGAACAGCTTTGACGAATCAGTTCGAAATCGGAAATTCCACGCGTATCCGATCCGTATTAGTCATTATTTACCGGCAATTATTAAACGACAGACGAGACAACCCCGTTCAGGGGTCTCAAAGTGCTCGATGAGGCGTGCTTTTGCTCCCCTCTATCTCTCAAGGTTGCTTGTAAATTCGCGCATTTCAATTCCTTCGCGGGCGGAATTCCGCGAAATTACAGCCCCCAGGGCGGAGGCTCTGTTCTATTTACGGAAATTTGCCTGAACACACGTCATCGTCGACAGCTTGAACGTTCGTGGACTGAATCCTTTAGGATTCCTCGGATAGTTTAGGATTGTTCTTACGATTGTCCGGACGATGTGTCCTGAGTGAATGTCGACGGTTGGATTGGATCGTTTGGAATGGGCTCGAAGAATAGGAGTGATGTTTGAGAATTTGATTTGTTATGGTTTTGTAACACTTACGCCAAACAGGTCCCTTTCGTGGCGGGTAGGAACTCGTCCCGGTCCAGGGATCCCGGGTCCTCTGATAGGTCGAAGCTGATGCTGAAATACTCGCTGCTGGATACCTGGAAAAATAATTTATTGAAATGCCTGTTGGGTGTGTGATCTATTTACCGAAGTACCTATGCAATTGTTCCCACCGACGTTACATTTTTATTTGATTGTAAGGAATGGTGATAAAGTACAATCAACTATTATAACGTTAAATTTTGCCTATGATGTTTACAGATTTAAAATTCTGACTGTCACTTTGATTAAAATTATATAATAATACTAGAATTACACGATTTATTCGAATAACTTGAATTATTTGAATAACCTGAATTACGCCGTTTCTAGAGGTCACGTTTCGTCGCGAGATTAAACGTCAGCTGTTACGGAGGGCACCGAGTGTTTCGGGTTCGATAAAAGGCAGGCGCAAGTAATTAGTCGGGAAATGCAGCATTCCCAGCTGATAAGGAACGCGTTCGTAAAAATGCTGAGCGTACGCGTGAACGAGGCTATACTATTCTCAGCTCGCTGACAACGGCAGGCAATAAAGTACGCAAGCAATCTTTACTTAGGAATCGGTCACGTCGCCCCATGAAGAAAGGTTCACGTTCATTCACAACGAGCGTTTCACTGTCGTTTAGTTTTTACAATTCCTCCCAGTTTTATTGCCGCTCGTAATTTTTTTTCCGTCGTCTTCAACCGATGCCACCGGCATTTTCTTGAACCTCCGAGAATACGTGTCCCAGAAATTCGTAAAACTTCGATAAAGATATTTCCATTCGTTACCAGGTTTCATAGAAGGTTACCCCGACTGGAATTTTACACAGGACCTTAACGAAGCTTAACTTTTCAGTCGCGTAAAACGTTCGTAGGCATCACTGCAGAATTTGTTAATGTTGTCGAGAATAATCGTGTACTAAAACTATCCCCATTTTCCCAGTGAAATATCGTATATACGAGCCGACAAGTAGAATGGGACCGTAAGTGGCCGGCCGAGTAGAATAGACACGCGCGTGGTCAGACAAGTAGAACACCGCCGTATAGCCAGTTTGCAAATGGCACCCACTTCTACCGTCATAACCGTAACTTAACGAGGCGCCCACGTAGAAACGAGCACTTGAAAACGTACTCGAGTAGACGAGGAACGAAAAATACTTCGCAACACTATCGATTCATTATGAGACAAATCTTCTAATTGTTATTGGCAGGATTCATTCCTCTCTCTTGTGCACCTTTAATTTTATAACACACTGCGTGGCATAATTATAAAATCACTCTGAAATTCGTGACTCTTGTGTATTGTGGTTAAAATAGAAACGAACCAAACATCGAAACATTACTGTACCTTTCGTGCATTCGTACGAGTTCACGTCTCGACTATTGCAATAAAATTGACTTTCCATCTACTATGTTTCTATCGAGGGTCGACAATCTCGCGGTAACACGACACAACGAATTGCTCCTTGATCCCTTAGCCAGGATGTTCCTGCAAGTTACATACTGCATTTCGCGTAATTGAAAATAGAAGGCAAGTGTCGAGACGGAGTGAGCACGGAATGTCCGTGAAGAAGTCGATTTCCCGTCAGGACTGAATTCCTCTGAAACCATCGGAAGGAAACAGTGAGGTGGAGCACTATAAACGTTTCAATTCCTGGACGAGCGCGGATCCTGACTTTCAGCGATAATTCAGCGTTACCCAGAGACGTTTGCATAATATCTCGGGGTCCTTTAGTCCGTACCCAGTGACGACACGGGGCCACTTTCTTTGATGAGATTCCGCGATACTTAATAACGGAGACAGAGAATGGAAAGGCCATCGGTGCTCTCGACCATGATCGAACATAATATCGAAGAATGGAGGAGAGCTCGACGTGTAATTGTATTTCTGATTCCCCAGACCAGCGAACGACGAGGCAGGGAATCTGATGCATTTCGCCCTAACAGCATCACGGATTTTTTTTTCTATCCACGGAGAGAATGCAGGTACACGAAAGTTTTTTTTTCCTGTGAGATGGCTTTTGCAACTTGTAAGGAAATATTTCAGGTTTATGGATGGAACCTGTAAACGATCTATATTTATGATGTGTACCTTATATGTATAGAAATCTAAGAACGGAATATGCTATCCTCTGGGCCCGGACCACTGGCTTTCAGGGTCCGTCATTCTAGGGTCAAAGTACATATCTAAATCAAATTTCTCAATAATCCCCTTCTTTTTGTTGTTCACTAACACCTAGGATCCATCCGAATTCACTTATCTACGTAACTAGCGTATCAATCCATCAGTTCTTCCCTCTCTATATCCAAAGAAATTTCAATTCATAAGTATAATACAGGTAACAGAAGGCACAGAAGGATTAGTACAGCGACGTTATTTAATCTATGCTAAAATTCCACTTCGTACGAGCTTCAAATACGGAAGAGGATTTAAATGCAAAGCAGGGGTTTATACAAAACTAGCGAGACAGGCGAGTTCAGGAACGGTGAAATCTGTCGGACAGATCTTGATACGTACCGGGGATTTTCAGTGACAGGGAAGGGATAACAAAGAAGGCGACGAGGGTTTTCCGTTCTGCATAGGCGAACGAAAAACGTGAGAAAGCCACTGGCGACAGGAGTAAAGCCTAAAAGAACTTGCGTTCGATCCTCCAACGGCGGCCAACGGAGCGCGAAAAATGTTTCGGGAGTTACGGAAGATCTTGTTATCCAAAGTGACAGAAAAATTGTCGCGTATTCGGCGAGAACGCGTTTTACTTAAAGGAAGAAATGTCACTGCAATGGAGCTACAAAACGGGGGTCACTGGAAGTCGAAAAATTCGTTTTTCCAATTTCCCTGGGAAGAGATAAACCATGTATACAGAGTGTTCGATAACTGGTGTCAGGAATTTTTGGACGGTGATTTCTACATGTCAAACTGAAAGACGAAAATGAAGAATAATGGGATTATTGAAAATACAGGGACATGGTTAATTGCTGAAAATAATGGGCGAAAAATGTATGACGTGAAGAGGCTTACTTACTTACTTACTGTCGGAGCGCGTTAACTGGGTCAGTCACGGGCAGCGCCGTAGTTACCAGGTGGACCCGTCTACATCGTGATGTAACAGTGGTTTTTTTTTTGTTATACTTTGTGAAAAGGTTAAGACGAATCGTCGTTGCGTCACTTAATTTTTATACTAACAAAAAAATATGTATATATATTTATATATATATATATATAAAAATATGTATATATATATATATATATATCAATTTCTTTTTTAGTTAAATTCACCTGTATGGGGAAAATACCATACTGTGCAACGGGAATTTCGTTATCCTCGATTTTCTTCCTAGTTCGGGACGTAGGTAAAACATCCTCGTAAAGTTTCTGACACCTCTGTTATGGACCACTCTGTACACGCTACCACGATAAAATAATTCCCGGTTATTGCGAGCACATGGACGGGATGAAGGTTAGCTGGATAAACAGGGGTAAAGGGGACCGAGAACCAACAGGGCGTAGAACGAGGAAATTGAAAGTAACGGCGGTAGTTTCCCGCGGCAGCGGTGAAACGAAATCAAGCCCACCCCTGATACCCAGCGAAGGAAAAATTGAGGAACAGGGGCGGGGTCTCGCGGTAATTAATTCCGACCAAGGAGGGGGTGGGGGTGAAACGGAATCTCGACGTCGACGTAAATGTCTCGTAATTGTCGGTATTACCAGAGCGGCGCGCCGAACGCTTTGGCCCCAGACATTTTATTGTCTCATTTACATGAGCTCAGAGAAGGCGAGCGGGATAGGTTTGGGTGGTGGTGTAACGAGTGCCACGTCTCACAGAACGCATCCCTGGAAACTGCGATTTGAATTGCTAAACGACCAATCGTCGCCGAACACCTGCCACTCCGTGAGTCATCCACAGGATGGGTAGTTTTCCCTCGTAATTCCTTCGGGTCAGAGGATTCTAGGAAGTGTCCCTCCCCCTCCCTGAAAGTGCGAGCCTTTCACCAAGTGGACACATCACCGTTTGAAAATCCGTTTAAACGTTCTACAGACAGTATGCTGGAATTCTCTGTAATCTGAGAATCGATTTTGTGCCCTATGAGTCGTCACGTTAACTGACTTGTCTTAGTCTTCCTTATTACATGTATTCTGTTTCTAAACGATTCGAGAACGAGTCAAGCTTGCGATTTCTTGTTATAGAATTAGAAAAAAGAATTCCCGTTCAATATTCATTCGATTCGTGGGAAATCCTTTCCGTCCGAACTTTCGTTTAGACGTTCCACTTTCTCTGTCAGTGGTGCAGGTACCATTATAGTCAGCCGCCAGGATTAATTCCTAGTCCGGCAGAGGTACAGGATTGTTTGCTGTTATTGATCCGACTACACCGGCCGTGTGTAAAGGTTACATAAGCCGACGGTGCTACGGAAAATTAGGCCAGCTTTTAATTGTTGCACCGCAAACCAACTTTCTTTTGTTCCATGCTCCATTGACGTGTACTAGGGAACATTTCTCGACCATGCTTTTGTTTGATATTTCAGCGTGTGATATAATTAAGCGGACAGTGGACGACAATGAAATGTTTTTTTTTGGGGGGGGGGTTTTATAATGATAAAATTGTTCGTTTACTAACCTGCGACCGCGACAGTTTGTGTTTGGTGCGATTCTGGTGCGTGGACTCGATCGACGTCGCATTGGGAACCAGAAAACGCGGACTGGCTTCGACATTTTGGGGGTGGTGTTGCAGTTGCTGCGGTTGATAATGCTGGTGAAGCTGATGGGGTTGCTGCTGCGAGGTACCACTCCCCAGATGATGCTCACCCGTGTCCAGCATACTGTTGCCCAGAGCGTCCAGCTGGGTCAACGACCTCGAACGCACCTACAACCAAACAGCATTCCACGCGTTGAAATTACCAGAAACAAGTGATAAATTGCTCACTTAGTAGGTTTGTGACGTGCCACTTATAAAAATCGTAGGATAAAAACAATGTATATACACAGACACAGAACTGGATGGATGTAACAGAGTGCTCAGGCGGGTAGAATAAGTCCTTGCAAAGTCAGACAGGTGAAAAGAACTCATATGATATGACATTAAGAAGAAACCCAGTAGGATAGTCTGTATATGCACAGATACAGATCTAGATGAATGCAACGCTGAGTGGTCAGGCAAGTAGAATAAGTCCTTGTAAAGTCAGACAAGTAAAAATGACTTTTATATGATAGGACACTTCGAAGAAATTCTCAAGTATCCAGGCAAGTAGAATGGGTATTCGTGTAGTCAGATGATAAGACGCCGTTCGTACGCAAGTAGATGGTAGACGTTTCCAGAGTTGGAAGCGTGTAAATGGGGTCAAGAATGTCTTAGTGTGAACTTTGGAGACCAGCCCATGTAGATGGCCCGCGTAGTCTCCGAAGTTGGTGTAATAATTGTTTCGTCAATTAGAGAGGGCTCGTGAGATCCAGAATCATGTAGGCGCTGCGACACGGCGGGAAAATATATATACGACGAAGGGAAAATTTCGTGTCGACGTAAACTGGGTCAGTGGCGATCGACCACCCAGTATCGATCATCCCTCTCGAGACCCTTCGTTATCGCGATCTAGCTGGAACACTCTGTCCCCGTGTGTTGTTATCTAACTCCCTTTCATTCGTTTATTCGTCGTCACTACGGTTTGTCCTCTGTCGCCATGGATTGCTTTTTTTTCCTCTTCTGTCGTCAGGTGAACCGAAATCCATGATCGAGTTCGCGGAAGAATAACAGGGATCGCGACGATCCATCGATCTGTATCGCTATTCAACGAGATCAGAAGGAAAGACGCTCTAATGGTCTAGTGCCATTACGAAACTGTGGATATTGATTTCGTTCGGATTGGAAAGCTGGCTGCCTCGACATCGGGCTCGTGTCGTTTCCAATTTCAAAATGGGCGAGCAGTAACGACGCCGATCGTCGATGGGAGCAAATTATTATTGACGTTCCCTGAGGAACCGACTAATCGAGGAGGCACTTTTGAGAACGTTTTAAGCGATGCTGTAACAGTTCTGCATTTTTTATTCTAGCAGATCGATCAATCTTGATAAAAATAATAAATTCTAATAACGTTTCTAAACTGAGAAAATGAATTAAAAATGTTTAATGTTACCACGAGAGAGCACGAGATGATGATGGGTTTTGCAGTATTGATTGGGAGACGCTCGATTTGAATGCACGTACGCAATAAATTTGAATGCTATTGGTTTTATCGTAATCAAAATTTTACGACATAACGGTGCACTGAATATGCCAGTGGAATACGACCTGTGTCTGGACAGACGCAGTTGGGAGCAGAAATACGCGAGTTGCGGGCAAGGAAAGCAGGACGGTGTGCGGTCAGACGGGTCGTATACGAAAAGCAGTAAAAAAAAAATTGTTTCCATCTGTCAAAGGCAGGAAATTTATAGGCAACTGAAACACGAGCAAGGGAAATCGTACATGTTGCAAATTCAAAGGTCGAATTATTGTATGAAAATTAAAACGTACTCTGTTGCGGCAGTGATAATTTCATACTGGATGTTCAATTTACTTTTTCCGCGTAAGTACACCCAGTGCGAAACGAAGACGAAATAAAATATGTCAACGATAAATTGGAATCGCTGTCTGACGAGTTATCGATTCGATATAGGGGGACGGAGACTTCAAAGTAGTCGTCTGTGAGAATGTTGATATGTGAGGAAGTATTTTGTAGAAAAAAGATGTCAAATCTGTTTGAAATTACCGTGAGAAGTGAAACACGACTGTGTCTAATGAAACAGTAGTATGACACCGTATATGTTCAGACATAGTATATATGGCACCATATGTGTTGAGTAGAACATATTGGTATGTGGCCAGACAAGCCTAACAAGAATAAGAAGAAGAAGAATAATAAGCCTAACAAGAATGATTATAAAAGTGTTTGGGTGTCTTAATAAAAATGCTGTCAGGGGAATCAACAACATCAGACCTGTAAAAACGATTGCAGTTATGAATTTCAAGTGAAACGAGGAGAATTTACAGCACCCGTCTGTCGGCGCGTGGTAAACGACAGAACAATTTTTCAGGAAGAGGAAAACTGCTCCCGGCGAGAATGTCAGATTTACAATAAATTAATCGTTACCGGGACCTGCTGTTAGTTACTGTCCGAAGTTCGCAGTTTCCTGATAAATCAAGTCACTCGACCAATGCAACGGTTCTCGCTGAGAAACATTTTCGCAGAGCTAATCTCGTACGTTATTTCACATGATTCAAGTGGCCTGCGTTGGTAGAGAGCAGTGCCTGGGAACATGTCAGAAATTGTAAAATATTGTCGAATCGAAAAATATATATATATAAGTACGGATGACATACGCTCGAATTTATTTCTAGTCTTATTTTACGATGCACTTTCTGTATCCGTTCAAAAATTGTAGAAGCCACTCTGGCTCCACGTTTTTACATTAAAAGCACGAAATGTAACACGCCCTTTTAACGCAAGGTGAAGGTAATTAATCAGACTCACTTCTGCACTTTACGAATAATATCAAAGTAGGTCAAATGAGCTTCCTCAAAGGGTAGGTAATCAGGCTTCCCGTCGAAACATCCTTCGACATTTTCTTCGACGGTCACTGATCAGCATCGGAATATTCTACTTCCCAAGTAATACCGGCCGGTTATCCGAACAGTGTATGCAAATTAATAAGCTTCGTAGGTTCAAAGGAAATGATGATGTGAGTTACGTGTAACAGACGTGGTCGATGTAATCTACATTACAGACACATGATGAAGGTACGAAAGTCGTCGGTAGACGTACGAGCGCCAGTGATGGAGATCTGTCTAGTGTCAGACAGACGCACGAACCGACACGACTGGAGTTATATTTCCCCGTAATTCCTAACACGTCGAGTATTCGGATATCTCCATCGTGAATGTATTAGACAGTTTGACAGATGCTTTCAATTTGCACGTAAATATTTATAAATTTCGTGTTCCTTACAAATAATATACGCTACCGGTCAAAAGTATGGCACGAAATCTGACTATCAAAGAAAGTGAAAACTATTATTCCACTGACATTTGATAAAAGTAATGCGCTGAAACTAATTGGAAATGATTTTTGTATGTATTTTTTACGTAACTTTTATTATATCGTAACAGAATAATGTATTCTTGATCCATAAACTCTGGTCCCGTACTTTTGGCCGGTAGCGTATGTATGTATTGGCGTTCAATTTTCTCAGAAACAAGGATGCAGAGGAAACGATGTTTATCGGACAATGTTGATTTGTTTTTAAACGCAAAGTCATCCCATGGGTTCATATCTATAGCAATCATTTCTCAAGTAGCTTGTACATTCGCCAAGTGTTTTCTAAGCAAGCAATACTTATATGGAGCGAGTCTCTGGAGAAAAATGAGACGTAATATACGGGCCGGGGGTAGAAATATTTACACGCCGCGACATAAATTGAACCCGGTTGCGCCGCATGGAAAACATTTTTTTTCTTCCAAAAAAAGCACTGAACGCTTCGTTCCGTACTATACACACGCTGAAGAGATCGTATCTGTTTAGATAGATTATACCGTCACCTCGCGTGCTGCATCAGGAATAATTCATGCTGTACGAAGTTATTCAACGATGCACAATTATTCCTGTCCCCATCGGCGTTCGAACGTAGCCAAGGAAAAAATGGAAAATAAAAATCGTGCCGCCCGTTTTCTGTTTATTGCTACACATGATTCTCTATGCACTTGTGTTGTATCTTTTTTCCTCTATATGGTTCAGACAATCTCGGCTTTTGCATATTGGGGGAAAAATATGCGACTCGTATTTCAGTGGATTTGCTAAACGTTATTTTCACGCCCCACCCCCGCCGTGTGGTTGGCAATTCGTTAGGTGGCAATTGTTACGCCGCAGGTGAAATTCTTTGCTTTTAAAAAAGAATTTTAAATCACGTCCCTTACAGAAACGAAAACTCCGCGAAATCTCGCGCAGAAAGTATTCTGAAAAGAAGAGAAGACGGTGGAACGAACGAAGAAGATAGTAGAACGAACGAAACACCGATTGTATCGTGGACATTTATAGGAAGTGGAAATACCGAGGAATGGTCAGACACACTCCTGGAACTGTACTTCGCAGCAATATATTTCACAAGCTTTCAGAATTTATTTTCTCGGAGGAGAGAAGCGTTGTGCAATAAATTTTTCCGCCACTTCTTTATCCACTTTTTTCACCGAGGAATCGTGGGATCAGTAGAAATGTCGCGTAATGGTCAGACGCGTTAATGAAATTATATTCAGGCGGTGAATTAAAACTAAATAGGATGCTACGTATCATACACGGTTAACTGTATTTATCACGGGACACTTTCCACGAACGGGGAGGGATCTTGTTCCGAGAAACGATGAAATCAGAAAACAAGAGAAACTAGGCCGTAAGCGCAAAACACACGAACCATTAATCAGTGACGCGCCGCAATCCCTGTCCGTGAAATTACACCCTCCCAACCACCCCGTTCGAGTGCGTTCATTCAGTACATATCATTTATCGCGTGCCATTTTCCACCTGCTCGAGGTGGTGCCATGATATACAATTATACTCGGGGCACCTTTCCTCGCGAACGAATGAAACGCGCGTCGGTCATTAGCGAGTAACAAATGACAGACGGAGACGGGCCAAGGGAATTTCATTACACGCCGTTTTGCTCCGCTCGTGTTTTCGTTCATCCTCTTCCCTCCCGCGGAGATTCAACGCGTGGGTGTGGGGGGGGGGGTTCGTAACGTGGAAACGCGAGGGACACGAAAATTAAAAAAGAGAAAACCCTCGTCGACGAGCCGAGTCGTTACCCCGAAGGTCAGAAAACGAAGGGAGCTTAATGGGAACGACG